TTAGTGTCCATGAAGGTCTCTGCTGCCGTAGATCCTCTGAACTGTGACAGAGGTCTCACTCTGGAGGAAACTCTCAGCACTTTCCAGCAGCTCCTCCATCATGGAGGACGTTCCCTCAATGTAACAGGTGGAGGAGAGAGGAGAGGAAGCACAGGTGGATCATCTGAGGAAGAGGAGCGTTCCTGCAAACCACATGATCACACGACCAGAGGGGCGTGGCCTTCAGTGATAGTAATAAAGGAACAGTCCACATGTTCCACTTTGAAGGCTCATGTAGTGGCAAATTTCTGTCCCAAGCTTTGAAAAAATAATTCTTCCACTTCTTAATTTGAGCTGTTCAGATTTGTCTGAATCGTACATACAAACAAAAGATGTCACGGTCAAAAACTATTTGCTGCTACAGCGCACATTTCCATTGCCGTCCTGGCTCACTCTAACCTGCTACCACACATGCACTGTAATTTTTTCTTACCCAACACAAATTAAACGCGCAGCATTTATTCTCTAACAACATATTATACAAAATCAAACATGTAACATAATAACTGAAACAGTATCAAAAATATTTCTCGATAGATTGGCTCTAACAGCTCATCTCCAACAAAGCAGACCTGTTATCACTTTGGCTCAGTATGATGGATTGTTTGGATTTGTCTTTGTTTCTCTGGCTTTTCTTGGGTGTCTGTGTGTCTTTGTATATTGGATAGAGTCATGTGACCTGCCCAGGGACTACACATGGAAATGAGCAGTTTAGCTCATTATCCTGATGTCCATGAGCATGAACACTGTCCCTGTCAAATAAATCCAGATACAAAGATCAGACCTACTGCGCATCATTAGCGTGTCAGCCGCCAACTGCATCTTCAAATAAATAATTGTGTCTGATCAGCGGTGATAAGAGGAGAGACGCTGAGCGAGTGACATGAAAAAGACTTTCATTTATTTGAATTTCAGAGTTTTTAATGAATTACTGCATAAACACTTGAATTACTGTCTGAGCTGCTGCAGTTTCCTGCTGTGTCCACTGGGTGTCAGTAAAGCTGCAGGTTCCTCACCTGGTGTCCCTCAAAGTTAATTCAGGGTGCAGTTTTGGCTCCAACATTTTGAGGACTACACGGTCCATGCTCAGTGTTCACTTTATTAGGAACCTATTCCTGCTGTAAAGCTGAAGATTATGTAAAAATATGATGAATTAAAATAAAAACCTTCTGATCAACTAATGTAGAACAAGTCAGTGTATAAGAGACACTCATATCATGCTGATATTCAACCAATACCAACACTGCTGTCAGTACTATTGATCCATGGATCGATACAGCCACTCATATCCTGGACCTGAACAAGCTTTATAGAGGAGCTGGTGATCACAGTGAGTGAAGCTGCAGCTACAATGGCAGTGGACAAATAACAGTTATTAATTTTCACAACACATGAAAGGCAATAACTGTTTGAAAAATGTATTTTTTCCTCCTCCCTCTGATTATTGTTTCATGGATGTTATCAGCTTGATGTTCTGATGAGTTCACAGCAAACATGAACCAAAGGTCCTCCTCGTCAGTCGTGCCACTAATGGAATATTCTCTCCGGACAGCCAACAGGACAAGGAGAACTCTGACCGACAGCTGGAATCAAGTTCCACAAACATCTTTTCACTTCTTACAACTTTGGGGTCCGTAGGGACTAGAAAAGGCCTATACAAATACAGGCCATTTACATCTCTGTCCTCTATTTCTGTCTCTGTGATTCAACTTCTAATATAATATATTATAATATAATATAATTAGGAGTGGGAATTTAAGGCAGTAATTATGATCAATTCATTTGAAAAATATAACACGTAAAAGAAAACAACGCATTTAATGACACTTTGCATTCCAAGCAAAGGGGAACTTTTGCTAGATGCTAGATGTCCTGCTAGATGTCCTGGTATACCGATTACGCTGATGCACACATAGGAGCTACAATAATCTCAGAAGACGTATTGTGAGTCCAATGGGTTTGTTATTTTTTGCACTAAAATGTTCAATGATCACACAGCCTAATGTACAAAATAATGTTGGCTAAGGTAAGGCTAACTACTCACTTAAAGGTAAAGTTGGTCAAACAACCTTTTATGTTTCTGTGTTATTTTTTAAGAAGAAAAACTCCAATTTATGTTCAAATTTTAATCATTATTATTTAAAGGCAATATCATTTTTAAAATGTACTTAAAGCACTTAAAATAGCACTTTATTTTTAAGTCTGCCCGATTTTGGCCAGAATTGAAATGCCATTTAAATGCTTTGTTTATGGGAATTTTAACAATAACTTACAACACAACCTTCGTGAGCTTTATTTGAAGTGGGTTTAATAAACACAAAACAATGTGGAGAGAAATATCCCAGCCAAACACTAGGATGATCTCTGCCCAACAGCCGCCGCCCTTGCATCTTATATACACACACAGAGAAAGAAAGACCTTGTTTTCTGCTTAGCAGTCACCTAGAGATTATCCCTGATAAGCAGGAGTCTCACTATCTGTTAAGTCTAAGGAGCATGGAAAGAAAAAAGCGCCTGGACTTCCTTGAGTCACTTAAAGACGTTTCACCTCTCATCCAAGAAGCTTCTGCAGTTCTAGGGTCAAATGGTGGAGAATCCGAGAAAACGGGTGTAGGTCACAATCACCCAAGGTACCTTGGCTGATATAATGTAATATACATGTTTTACATGTGCTGCTGTTGTGTTGATGGTGCAGAGATGCTGCAAAGAGTGTTTGTGATATCAAGCACAAAGATGTCTCTGTGCTTCAAGATTCAAGATTCAAAGTGTTTATTGTCATGTGTCACAAGAGAAAGGGCACTTCTTTGTGCAATGAAATTCTTTCTCTGCTGTCCACCCACAGATGCCGATTAATATATACAATAGAAATAGAACATATAAATACAAATAGTACAAATAAATAGCTGTAGACAGAAAAGGAGACAAAATATGGAGATTTGAAACAGATGTGTGCAAAAGACCTGTAGCTTAATATGTAAGATGACCTGATGTGCAAAAAAAAATTATTATTACTGTTCAAAATGGGTCAGCTGTTCAAGAGTCTGATGGCAGTGGGGAAGAAGGAGTTAGTGAGTCTGGATGTTCTGGATTTCACACTTCTAAACCTTCGTCTCGAGGGTGAGGTCCTTAGTGATGTAGACGCCCAGGTACCTAAAGCTGCTCACCCTCTCCACTTCAAGGCCCTGGATAGACAGCAGTGGGTGAGGCCTCCTCTTCTTCCTCATGTCCACTATCATCTCCTTTGTCTTGTCAGTGTTGAGGGTGAGGTTGTTGTCCTCACACCATCACACCAGACCGGCCACCTCTCTTCTATAAGCCGCTTTGTCTCCTCCAGTGATGCGACCAATCACAGCAGTGTCGTCTGCGAACTTCAAAAATGATGTTGTCTTTGTTGGTGGTGAAACAGTTGTGGGTGCACAGGGTGTAGAGGATAGTGCTAAGGACGCAACCTTGTTGGACACCAGCGTTTGTAATAATGCTGGCTGAGGTCCTGTTGCCGATCCTGACAGACTGAGGCCTGCCAGTCAAAAAGTCCTGTAGCCAGTCTCATAGGGTGGGGTGCAGGCCGAGTGTTACCAGCTTGTGAGTGAGTTTGTGTGGGATGACAGTATTGTTTTCTTTGTCTTTGTTTTCCGAGTGGGAGAGTGAAGAGTGAAGGGCAGCAGCGATGATGTCTGATGTGGACCTATTGGGCCTGTAGGCATACTGCAGAGTGTCTGTGATGTTGCTCTGGATGTAGGCCAGCACCACTCTCTCAAAGAACTTCACAATGATTGGAGTGAGTGCAAATGGTCTATAGTCGTTCAAGTCGTTCAGTCTGTGGCTGGTGTCCTCACCAAGTGTTGTTCCTGCTGTTTGAGGTGGATGAAGCTCCTGAGACGGAGCTGTGAAGGAGCACAAACACCTTCAGACTGTTTCTCACATAAATGGAGCCAGAGTGCAGATGTGCTCCTGATGTTCACTCATTTGATGTTTGGAGGATCAGTGAGATCAAGTCCACACTGAACCCCTTTAAACAAAGTCCCAAAGCAGCCATCCAAAGCTCACTTATTCTACTTTGTATTTTCTACTGACTTTTATTTGGATTTCATTTGGACTTTTTCTTTGGATTCACTTCAGTTTCAGTGAGTTTCCTCAGAGGATTTTCTTCTTTCACCTTAGTTTGGATTCTTTCAAATGTTTCCTTTTGATTGGTTTCAGTCTATCTCCAGATGAACCTTACCTCAATGACTGAGTAGCTGGGTAGTGCAGTGATAAGACTACACATCTTAGGAGCAGGAGTTGCAAGTTTGATTCCCACCCAGTATCCAGTAAGGATCCTGGCTTCACCCCTCATGCTAACCAAAAAACCCTGGAATGGCATGGCTTTGTCTGCAGCACACACACAAGAACATTTCACTACACACCGTTCTCTGTACGATACTGTATATGGCAAATAATAAAGCTTGTTTGTTTGAGCATGCATCAAGACAGTTTAAAAATTCACATTTTTATTTATTATGGCAGAATGATTGAAAGGACCAGATGGCCCTGCAGTATAAAGTGATCTGGGAGAAACACCACTGTATATCAGTGAAGCAGCAATATGTTTTTGTGGTGTTGCACTTTGTAGACGGTCCCTGAGCACTTCTCTCACACTCAGCTACACCTGGAGACAAGCAGGGTTTCTTTCACATCCACCTTAATTTTGGGATTCAGATTCTGATGGTGTTCTGATAACCTTTCTTATGTGTTATTGATCCAGTTCAAATATGTGGCATTATTTCAAACGTATGTGGTTCTTTCAATAAACTCAAACCAAATGGAGGCTCTGTTTTTACCACGGTGAATCACGCACCCACGCCCTGGAGGGTTTATCAACTTCAAGTTCAGCCTCTGAGCATGTTGAACCAGTTTTCTGGATCACAGCCCAGCAGGAAATCCTCTCTGTTCGTTAGCAGTGAGACAGGAATGGCAGAGTTTTGAGATGTGGATTCACTCAGTTATGAGCGGAGTGATCAGGATTCTGTGTTTGCTGTCCTTCTTTGAAGGATGATGAAAAACTTGCTGGCCTTCCTGCTCCTCGGTAAGAAACTCCGAATATATTTAAAAGTCTTGAAGTGAGTAAACTGCCTATTTCAGGCAGGAAAGGTTTACAGCAGCCATGGAAATATGTTTCATGGATACCTGAGTAAGAGTCAGTTACTGGATTAGAGTCTGTTAACTGTTTATTGGTTAAATTATTTCGTTTTAAGCAATTCTACAGTTTTTTTTGTGTGCAGATGCATCACAGTTAGTCAAGTAGAGGGGAAGAGGGGGACATGTGTGTGTGTGTGTGTGTGTGTGTGTGTGTGTGTGTGTGTGTGTGTGTGTGTGTGTGTTGGGGAAAGATCATGAGTACAGCAGAAAACAGAAACAGGTTTATCTACTTGAGAAAGAGTGAGAGGCTGAAAAGACATTTAACATTTAATTTGACTAATATTTTCTTTCTGTTTCTGAAATCTGCACAGACATTGAGATAAGAACATTGTCAGGAATTTTTGTGATCATGATAATTTGGTCATGTGGTAATCTGATATTGTGACAGTCCTAATCTACAAAGTAGTGTTTTTGCCAAGGTCCGGAGTCTGGTGACTCCATGTTTGTGTTTTTTGATTACTAATATGCTTCGTTTCATTCGTTTCTGGATATGTTTTGGTAATTCCTCCTTCTTAGCTTTTGTTCCTGTGCTGTTAAGTGTTTCATGTCTCTAGTATAGGTTTGGTTCTCTTTATTGATTTCTGCTTGTGTTATATTTATAGTTCCTAGTTTCTAGTTTTCTGTCCCACGTTTAGTTATTCTCATGTTGCATCTGTTTCCCTAGTCAGTCATGTCTCCACATCACAGTGTGAAGTCTGTGTCCTTGTAAATGCCTCTTGTTTCCTGTTTTATTTAGACAGTCTTGCATCCCATGTTCAGTGTTTTGAGTTTTGCTTCCTTTGGTTCATCATGTCAGATTATGTTCAGCTATGTCTCCCTCCTGTTGTGTATTCCCTCTGTTGTGGAAAATCTTAAATAAAATTGCAACCACCAGATGAGCATCTCTTTTGAAGTGAGGTTTACTAAAAAAGAAAAACACAGCAGTGGAGAAAACATTCAGGTCAAACACCAAAATGGTTGTCTGAATATTGACATTGCCTGAAACTCTTTTATACCTTCCCAAACACTCTCAAAGAAAGAACATTCCACAGCACATCATATATCCATGTGCCTTCAGTCTAGCTCATCCTTGACCCCCTCCCACTCTATGGATGGATGTCTTGAACTTTACAATGGGCCCTCCGTGAAAGTGCAATAAACATGGGACCCACTTGTGATATCATTATACATGCATACATACAACTGGTGACAGGAGTGAACTAAAGTGATATGATTAAAATATGTGATTAATACATCAGAAAAGAAATCTTCCACCTCACCCCGTAACCCTCTGTGTATATATTATGGGTGTTTCCTTTGTTCCTCGTTGGGTTGTCTGCTCATCGGCCATTATTTGATTCCTCATGGTTCCAAGTCCCCAGGTTGCTCCAATTTCCTCTATTGAGGTTTTCTCGTGTTTAGCTTTCCCCCTGTTTAGGTTTTAGTTAGTTTTTCTCAGTTCCCCTTCCTTGTTGTTTTAGTAGCTTTTTTGTGCAGTTTTTTTGATCTGTTTATCTGCACTTGGGTGTACTTCTCTCCTCTCCACATGACCTGCCTTTGCCAATCATGAGTAGCCTGGGATGATTTCTTGCCCTAAATTATTTTCTCACTTCTTATGCAGTTCAACAAACTGACCACATTCGAAAAGGGAAAGGTTTTTTTTTGCCTTTGCCATCAGAGCATCATGACAGTGTGATTACCGGACAGAAAATGACAGCGAATCCACATTTTTGCACAGATTTGGCCTCTTAAAGACATGTGGTCCTAAACTATTGATCAGCTGTTAAACAGCCTGTTTCACTTTAAATGTTGTTTTCAATAAATTAAATGCTCCAAAAATGTTTTGTCTCACTCCCATTTCTTCTTGTTGCATGTTGAAGCTCTACTTGGAACCTTATTAAGATCCAAACATGAAAAATATGATTTTTTCCACCCATTTTTCAAGTGGTCTTAAACTTTGGATCAGGACTGTAACATAAAGACCAGGAAGAGGTGTATATTCCAACATTAACTGTAAACTTAGCAAAAATCATTTATAATTCAATACACAGAATGATTTTACTCTCCTGAAATGAATAACAGATCATGTTTTGCTTTGGTGGATTACATCCTACAGACTTCTTCAAGCCTTGTGAGGTCTTGCTCACTTTCTTTGACTTCACTGTCTAAATTAAATTGGACTGTCTGGCTGTAAACTGGTCTCTCTGCTTACTGCACAGGACGCAGTTCATTTGTGTTTCTGTTCCTGTCCTCAGTTTCCCAGCATGCCCTGGCTGTGGTGGTGGAGGTGAATGAGGGGGCAGAGTCTGTCCTGCTGCCCTGTGAGTTCTCAGGTTTAATACCTGAGAAGGACTCCACCGTGATGTGGACTTACAATGATCTTTATAACAAATCTGTCCACCTACGACGAAAAGAAGGAGATGATCTTGGAGAGCAAAACCAGCATTACAGCGGGCGCACATCGATGAGGCCTGATGCTCTGAACACTGGAAACTTCAGCCTCACTCTGAGAAAACCACAACTGACTGACAGCGGCAACTACACCTGCTCCATCAGTGATGGAAGACAAGAAAGGAGACTGATAGATATACAGCTGCAGGTCAAAGGTCAGACATAAACCCAAATACTTGCTGTACTTACAGGTCAAAAGTCAGCGCTATCGACAAAGGTCAGGGGTCAAACTAAAGGGGATAGTTGGTCAAATGTAAGGCAAAAAAAAGCAAAGACAAAAATGACTGGGTAGGTGGAGAGATTGAGTTGGAAGGGTTTTTCTTTGGTGTTTATTCTTTGCTCACCTATTTGTACACCACTCTGAGAGCCTGATTCTGCTGGAGGGTCTTTACTTTTTAATATTAAGCACCTTGAGATGATTGTTGTTCTCCTCTTCTGGCGAAGGAAGAGTGAATGATGGCAGAGATTAGTGGAAGTAAGGAAGAGAGGCAATATTTCACAAGTGCTGTAGGCAGAGGATCAAGATGAGATGTGGCCGGCTTTGATTTATATATGAACTCAGAAATGTCAGATATATTAGGAACATGAAAGGTGGGAAAAGGTTCAAAATGGAGAAAAGGTTCTGAAGATGGGGTAGACACAACATTCGAACTGAGTTGCTGGAGAACGTTATTACTGTACGTGGTGAAGAACAGCATCAATGAGTTAAGGGTTTCAGATGAATAGAAGTGTGGTGGGTAAACCTCAGGGCGTTGAAGATGTTTGTTGAGAAGCGAAAACAGGATCCTGGTGTTACCCTCATAAGAACTGAGTTGAAGCTTTGTTATTGTATAATTCTCAAACACGTAGCTTAAAGCAGATAACTCATAAGCTGGAGAGGAAATGGCATATCACAACGTTAGAAGATTATCATTTAGCCTGGAGAAATAGTTTGTTGCTTTATAAGAAAGAAAGTTAGAACACCTTAGTATTCACACACATGTCTGTGAATATATTTCTAATATATTTTTTACTTTTTCCATTGGTCAGCAGTTACATTAAACTGTTAAGGGTTTATTTGTTTTGTTTTGTTTTGTTTTAAGAAATGTGTCAGAATCAACGTTTCTTATTCTAACCAGAGATTTTAATGATTTGACCCCCAAAACATTTATTATGATCTCTCAATTATTGGTAACCATAGCAATGGTTGATAGAGTTTAGCTGCCATTCAAAACAAAAGGAGCCAGATAATATTTTTATATGATTAGAAGATAGAGTTAGAGATCAGGAATGTAGCTGTAGGTCAAAAGGTCATGTTGCTATTTTCTTTATGTTTCTCTACAGAACAGTTTCCATCCTGGGCCACATTTCTCCTAATTCTTCTGGTTCTCCTTGTTCTTCTTGTGGTTTCTGGAGGTCTTCTTTTTTATTTCCGGCACTATTTTATGTCAGGTGAGTCTCTCCTACTACACTACCCATAATACCGATGGTTAGCAGGAGTCATCTGGTGGCTCCTTGACCGTTCAGAGCAGACACATGAGATCTTCATGGTTTCTGTGCTGATGTGTGTGAGACATGGTCGACTGTGGAGGCTCAGTCTGTCTGTTCTTCTGCTCTTCATCCAACATGTCTGCAGCACTTTACAGGACGCTGCAGACTAGTTACCAAAGAACGAGTCAGGAACACATCAGGAACAAACTGAGACACAATCTGAGTGAGACTAGTCCCTTTTCCATTAGTTACTTGTCCATTAATCGGATTGACTGGTTTTACATTGCAATCCAGTACTACCCAGAGTGTGTGGTTGTCATCATAGTAATGCTGCAGATACAGATACAGCAGCTTTCAATGGCTGCCTCATTCTTGACAGGACCATCACAGATAACTGGTGGATTCCTGACTGATTTCTGGCTGACCTGACTCTAATGACATCCTCCACTTGTTATGTGAACAATGTTAACATGAATGTTAACAGCATTTATGAAAACCAGTGGTAATCTCGTGTGCATCCACTAGGGAGAGCAGTGCTAATTAAAGTTCATTCATGAGCTCTATAAATATAACAACAGGGGTTATGCACACTGGACAAGCAGAAAGCAAAATATGATGTTTGCATTCTACGGTTATTGATAAATAATGTTTCATGAACATGAAAGCATGGCATGGCAATTTTTTCCCCAATAAATTAACAGTCATAGGAGTAAAAATCACAGTCCTGCCTGCTTACTCAAGTTGTCTGCCATGTAATCTTAGTACAGTATAATACTATTGTGATTTATTTTTATACTCTGTTTCAAAAACTCACTTCAAATCCAACAATTGGTACATGTCCCCCAAATAAGTGTCCAACCTCCAGTATTTATGTATTTAGTTATGATCAGAATCAGAAATACTTTATTGATCCCAAAGGAAATTATGGGTTACAGCAGGCAGCATGCTGGTTGGCGCATGCGCACTCACAAAGGAACCGTCCGACCAAACATACTTACACAACATCACATTGGGGAGACATGTCAGAGAGGTAGGCTGAAAAGAAAAACAGCGAAAATACACAACATGAGGTAAGAGGGGAGAAATAAGCTCCACCCAGACTGAGCTGCTGATGGGAGAACAGTTTGAGAACAGAAAAAAACTCCTCAGCACAAAAGCACATGAATCTTTTTACACCATAGAAGCACATGACAAACAGGGGTGGGCGAGAGTAAGCCAGTTCTGCAGCATGCGCTGGGCCCAGACCTGCCATCTGACCTCGGCTTTGGAGATAAGCGTTCATCATATGCATCATATCATCATCATATGCAAAATTCATGGGGAAGAATCTTCTGAATCCTGAAGATGAATAAATAAATAAATAACACAATTTGCTAAAATGTATTAAATAAATGTCTTAACAGTAATTTTACTAATAATGCATGGATTGCATTGTTTTAAAATGCAGTAAACTGACGACTGTGAACCCCTGTATTTTTGTTTAGCTTTCCTTACATGCTCTGTACATCTCTAACTTAAGTGTAACTTAAAAAATATATACAAAATATACAAAGTAGAAATTTCTACTTGGTGAAATGACCTGACAGAACATGCTGACACACTTTTTTAACAAAAATATATAAAACATGTACTACATGAAAGACAAAAAAACAAAAAAACAAAAAAAAAAACCCAGAACGACACAATTAAAAACAAGTTGTTTGTTGTTCCCATTTCCAAAGACCCAGGCCAGCCCCCATGAAACATAGCTCAAAAAAGCTGATAAGAGTTACACACCCACGCACATCTATCATGCTCAATCAGAATCAGCATACTTTATCAATCCCTAAGGAAATTATGTGGGTTACAGTTGCCCCAATCCAGTAACAGTAACAGACTATTAACTAGACTAAACAATATGTTACAGATTTACAGATTTAAGAAAAAGCACAATATATACAAATCACTCAATAATAAATATCAAGGACTGGCAGAGGTAAATTATCACTGGTCTAACGCTTTAATTTAGCTTGAAAAACATTCTCCAAAGAACAACGTTGAAACACCTTCATAAAGACAGCAGAGCACTTAAAAGAAGAGAAACTAGATAAAAGTCTGGCCTCTGAAATAAACAATATAGAGAAATTATAAGTTGCTGAAGACTTTTAAAATGTGTAAGAATTTAAATAAATCTAAAGAATAATTTCAAATATTAAATTGAATCTAAAAAAAAAAAAATGAAGGCCATGCTCATAATTCAAACCGGGGTAGCAAATAACAACCCAGAAAACAATTCAGAAATGTCTGAACTGTCAAACTGCCTATAAGTTTTATCCATTTATTTTACATTTTCAAAACTTAACTTTTGTTAACATCACCTCATACACACAACTTTTGTTATGTTTTATTTGGTGACAAGGTTTATATTGAAAGTTAAAAAAATATGAAATTCAATTCATTTTTATGTAGTCCCAGATCAAAACAGTGGCATTAATATTTTTTTGTTTTTTTGTATTATAAGGCAAAAAGCCAACAGTAATACTGAGAAAATCTTCTATAGCGAACTATCCAAGTCAAAGTAATTTTCAAGAATGTGCCATTTCTCTGTGACACTCTACAACTGAGTAAATGTTTATTTTGAAAAGTAGATACGTCATAAGGGATCAAGTCAGCCTCTGGCCGACCTCAGAATGCTTTATTGTACTTAAAACCATACAATAATTTGGAGGAAACCCCAACAATCAGATGATCTTATATGAACAGCAAAAATGTGTCAGAAAGGTCATATCCTGGTTAAAAAGACGACTCCAAGGTTCTTCACAGTGTTACTGGAGGCCGAGGTAATGCATTCAACGGTACTATCTATTGAGACACCATGTTTTGTTGTGTTTTTTAGATTTTTAGGGCACATTAACCTTTGTTTTATATAAATTTAGGAGAAGGAAATTAAAGTTCATTTAGGCCTATGTCATTAAGGCGTGGCTACAGTTTAATTGTCATCTTTCATTATACATGAAAAAAAATCTTTGTATCGTCTGAAATGAAAAAGTATGCAGTGTTTTCTTTTTTTAAGACTTTTATTTAACTTTTTTTCCCCCCCAACAAATACAAGACTGGTTCACATCCAAAACAGTAACACTGCACAGCACTAGAGTATTACGCATTCTCCAGAGTCCACAGAGAACTTGTGATAATTTATGTCCATAATTGTTGTCCATTAGGATCCAGTTTACAGGTTATTTCCAGTGCTTCCAGTGGTTTCTTCCATTTGTCCACAAAAATTCGGGAGCTCCCATCAATATAATGTCCCAACCTAATCAGAGTCATAACATCAATGATGAGCGACTTCCATAGAGAAATGGAGGGAGGCTCAGTCCCCACCCATCTCAACATAATGCTTTTCCTGGCCAACATTAACAGTGACTGAATTACATGCTCATGTTGTACCAGTGAGACAGGAATATATCCCAATGAACACATTAATGGGTTTTCTGTCACCTGATGACCAATGGCTGTACTAATATTGGCGCAGACCTCTTTCCAAAATGACTGAATAATAGCGCATACCCACAAGCAGTGGAATCTAGTGCCCACTCTGGCTTTACACTTGAGACAATTTGGAGATGTTCCCATATTATACTTACTATAAATATATGAAGAAATGTACAGATTGTGCAGGATTTTGTACTGCAGTTCTTTAAATCGGTTACAAACAGAGATTTTAGATGGAAGGAGCAGGATTTTGTCCCATGCCTGTATATCTATTTCACATTTAAGCAACGTCCCCCAAGATTTTCTCAACCATGTTAATTTGTGCACAATTAGGGCATAAATCTATGCCCTAATTTATGCTCCCTTTTATCCAGAAGAAATTTCTCCAACCGAAAAGAGGCTGTTGCGATTTGTAAAGATTTAGCATTTTTTAACACATAATGTCTCAATTGCAAATACTTATAAAACTCAGTATTTGACATAGAATACTGGGACTTCAAGGATTCAAATTATTTAAACTCACCATGTTTAAAGAGGTCATAAAATCTCTTTACACCTACTTTATGCCATCCCACAAAGCTCAACCCTATGTTTTGCAGCAGAAGGTCTGGATTATTTATAAGCATTGACAAAATATTAAACGGAAGGCTGCTGTTAAAAGGTTTTTTCAGTTTTCCCCACATCCACATATATCAGTGGGTTACGCTTTATTACGTGAGGTAAGTCATTTAGATGTTTCCCTAGAAAGTTAACAGGCGAGGATGGTTTACATAATACTTCCTCAATATTTAGCCTTGGCAGATCAGAACGTTCATGTATCCAGGAAGAAAGAATCCTCGCTTGTATTGAGAGAACATAATTTTCTATATTTGGCACTCCCCACCTGCCCAGATCTTTCGGTAACTGTAAAATGGTAAATGGCCTGTATTTGTATAGCGCTTTACTTAGTCCCTATGGACCCCAAAACACTTTACACTACAGTCATCCACCCATTCACACACACATTCACACACTGGTGATGGCAAGCTAATTGTGTGTCTAATTTAATTTTGGGTTTTCTTCCTGCCCAAATGAAATCCACCATAGCCTTATTGATTGCTTTAATATCTTCTGATTTCAAAATTGCAAACAACATGCCTGTGGGATATAATATTTTCGGTAAGATTACCATCTTAATGAGATGTATTCTTCCCAAAATCTTCTCAGCATCTCTCAAAGATCTTGAACCATTCCATTAATATTTTTTCTATATAAGTGACTAACATTTGGTGTAACTTCCAAATATACAAAACCTGATGGTGCCCAGTGAAAAGGTTTAACATATAAAGGTTCAATGTCCCCTCCACTACACAGTCATTATAACAGATTTATCAACATTTACCTTGTATCCAGATATAAGACCAAAGTCCTTGATACACCTAGTAAGAACAGGTAGAGAGTTAGCAGGGTCAGTCAGTGTCAGAAGAATATCGTCTGCATAGAGCAGAGTT